GGAGCCCGATGCGGGACTCGATCCAGGGACTCCAGGATCATGACCTGAGCCGAAGGCAGTCGCCTAACCAACTGAGCCACCCAGGCGCCCTGCCAGAAACTTTTTAAAGATTTTATTTATTTGAGAGAAAGAGAGAGCATGAACAGGGGGGAGGGGCAGAGGGAGAAGCAGACTCCCCACTGAGCAGGGAGCCCGATGTGGGACTCGATCCCAGGACCCTGGAATCATGACCTGAGCTGAAGGCAGGTGCTTCACCGACTAAGCCACCCAGGCGCCCCTGCTGCCAGAAACTTTTAACTGAGATGACAAACTGTTGTTTTATATTAGAATATTATTTTGGTTGCCATGTCCTATAGCAATGCAAGGGACAGCATTTAAAAAAAAAATATTTTCAGCCACATGGTGAATATGATTTACAGCCTTTCCTAGGTCAAAGTTAGTATCTACTTTTTTATAAAGGAAACCCCAGGGATTTAATAATATTAGCTGAAAGATGCTTGGCAAGAAACATCTAAAATGTTACTGTGAAATTCTACGAATTTTTGTAATTGAAAATTTTACTGAGGGGCGCCTGGGTGGCTCAGTCAGTTAAGCATCTGACTCTTGAATTCAGGTCTTAACCTCAGGGTTGTGAGTTCAAGCCCCATGTTGGGCTCTGTGTTGGGCATGGAGCCTACTTAAAAAAAAAAAGAAAAAACTTATTGAGATAGTTCTAGATTCACATGGAGTTGTAAAAAATAATACAGAGAGGGGTACCTGGGTGGCTCAGTCAGTTGGGCCTCTGCCTTTGCCCCAGTCATGATCCTGGGGTCCTGGGATTGAGCCTGATGTCAGGCTCAAGGAGCCTGCTTCTCCCTCTCCCTCTGCCATTCCCCCAGCTTGTGCTCTCTGGCTCTATCTCTTGCTCAAATAAATAAATAAAAATCTTAAAAAATAGACCCCACGTACACTTTATCCACTTTCTCCCAATGGTAACATTTTTATGAAACTATAGTATTACATCATAGCCAGGATACTGACATTATTTCAATTTGGCGATTTTATTGAAATTTCACCACATTGACATGCAGTCGTGTGTGTGTGTGTGTGTGTGTGTGTGTGTGTAGTTCTATATGGTTTTATCACATATGCAGGTTTGTGTATCTACCACCAAAGTCAAGATATTGACATATAGATTTTGAAAACATTTTATGATTTGGTATTAAAATTGAAAAAACCAATTTGGAGGCTGCTGTGTAAGTCAAGTGTTTATTTTTTGAAAAACATTTTTCAAAAACTTTTAGAAAATTTTATTGTCTCCCTAATTTTTTCCTATATCTTTAATATTGATATCTGAGGAAAAGCATCTGAAATTTACCTTAAAAGTGATCTGTGCCCAGACAGGAAAGCACTATTTCAGATCACACCCTCTACTTGAGAAATTTAAGTTAGTCTTTCTGTCCAAATTGGCTAATGTAAGACCTGCCTCAAAATATGGAATAGCATGTAATCACCCCTTAGAGGGAGAAGTGTGTGTCATTAGCAATACTAAGAGCATTTTGGGTGTGAACCTGACCAACCCTAGGATTCTTCTGTCAATGTGCCGAGGCCTAGCACAGAAGCATCAAGCGAGCATTCATGGACCTCAGGCTTTCTAGGCACACGACAGGACTCCTCCCTCGGAACCCTGAGCCGGGGAGACTAGGTGGACATACCCGCAGTAGCGAGGAATAGGATGGGACAGGGCAGAGGTGGGGCTAAGGCATCAGTGCTGTGGCTGTTGGGAGCCGGGAAGGGGTAAAGGAAAGGAGCCCTAGCAGGGGTAGGGTAGGAGGCAGGGCAGTATAAATGGGATTAATTGCATGTTGTGTTGTTCCTCATTTCGTATGTCTGTCTGGCATCCTACACCGCGCTGAGCACTCTGAAGTTACTCTGATTTAGACTAGGGATCAGGTTGGTCATTTATGGCCTTCACATTTTATCCTTGTCTTTGTTTCTTTTCAGCTCCGGCTGTGGTTACGTTGTAAAGGAAGCATCCAGCACTTGTACTGCTTGCAACAAAGATTCTTTGGAATTTAAATCTGTTTTTCTCAGCTTCCACTTGCTAATTGACCTCACTGACCACACAGGTACCCTCCATGCCTGCAGTCTTACAGGAGGGGTTGCTGAGGAGACTTTAGGCTGCACGGTAAATAACAGAAAGGAAAATGTGTTTAGAAATAATTCCAAAATGAATTCCCTTCCCCCCAAGTATAGGTTATTTCAGTGAACAGTTGATAGAAATTAATTCATTAATAAAGAGGTCTGGGGGAAAAAATCA